TCGTCTAGACTACGCCGCTAGCCTAGTTGCTGAGTCTGAGTCTGTCTGTCCTCCGTCCGTCGGGGGTGAGTGTGCTCTTGGCACGGACGTCCTTGAGGACAGGCAGGAGGAGTTTGAGTGCTTTGCCGCTGCTTTACCTCATCTCGTGTCCATGCTAGTTGCCCCTGAGGGAGACCCGGATGCACCAGACATCCCGACTCCGCGCTCTTACGCAGAGGCGATAGAGGGTCCCTACTCCTCTCAGTGGCAGACAGCCATGGACGCAAAGATGGCTTCCTGGAAGTCCACAGGCACCTACGTCGACGAGGTTCCCCCACCTGGGGCGAACATCGTCAGTGGCATGTGGATTTTCAGGGTGAAGCGGCCGCCGGGTTCTCCGCCTGTCTTCAAGGCGCGTTACGTTGCACGAGGCTTCAGTCAGCGAGAGGGAGTTGACTTCTTCCAGACCTTCTCCCCGACCCCGAAGATGACCACTCTTCGGGTTCTGCTGCACGTCGCCGCTCAGCGTGACTAGGAGCTCCACTCTCTTGACTTCAGCACTGCTTTCCTACAGGGCAGCCTGCACGAGGAGATCTGGCTGCGCCGCCCACCTGGCTTCACTGGGTTGTTCCCTCCTGGTACCCAGTGGAGCCTCCGGCGGCCAGTCTACGGTCTCCGACAGGCGCCACGTGAGTGGCACGACACACTGAGGACTACACTTGCGGCTCTTGGGTTCGCTCCTTCTACTGCTGACCCGTCGCTGTTTCTACGCACCGACACCTCGCTGCCGCCGTTCTACATCCTCGTGTACGTCGACGACTTGGTCTTTGCCACTGCAGACACTGCGGCACTCGCCCACGTGAAGTCGGAGCTGCAGAAGAGACACACGTGCACAGACCTGGGTGAACTGACAAGCTATCTTGTCTTGCGGATCACCCGGGACAGAGCACGGCGCACCATCACCTTGACTCAGTCACACATGGTGCAGCAGGTCCTTCAGCGCTTCCGCTTCACGTACTCCTCGCCTCAGCCCACTCCTCTGCCTACCGGTCACTCGCTCTCAGCTCTGCCTTCGGATGAGTCCGTAGAGCCGAGTGGCCCGTATCCAGAGCTTGTGGGCTGCCTCATGTACCTGATGACCTGCACTCGACCTGACCTTGCATACCCTCTTAGCATCCTTGCACGCTATGTCGCTCCTGGCCGTCACCGGAAGGAGCACATGGATGCCGCTAAGAGGGTTTTGCGCTACTTGTGCAGTACGTCGGGCATGGGGCTAGTGCTTGGAGGACGAGACCGAGTTGTACTCACTGGGCACTCAGACGCGTCTTGGGCTGACGACCAGGCTACTCAGCGGCCGTCTCAGGGTTACACCTTCAGCCTTGGCTCTGGTTCAGTTTCTTGGCGTTCTACACGCTCGTCTTCTGTTCTCAGCTCCAGTTGTGAGGCTGAGATCTACGCCACAGCCATGGCTGCACAGGAGTTACGCTGGCTCACCTACCTGCTGACCGACTTGGGAGAGCGGCCTCGTTCTCCTCCAGTGCTGTACGTCGACAACAAGGCTGCCATTGCCTTGTGTGAGGAGCACAGACTGGAGCACAGAACGAAGCATATCGCTCTGCGCTACTTCCTTGCTCGAGAGCTGCAGCAGCGCGGTCAGCTTCGTCTGCGTTACGTGGCCACTCGGGCCAACACTGCTGATGTGTTCACCAAGGCGCTTCAGCCTTGTGACCATCAGCGCTTCTGTACTGTTCTAGGCCTCGTGCCTACTGGGCCTCACTTGCTTACTTCTTGACTCTGCTTGTACTGTGATCTCTATATATATACCTGCTTGTTTACTCTTGCTAGGTTGTGATCACTGTATCTCTTGTTATACTATCAACCTGCATGTGAACTGGTCTTGTGACCACTTGCTTGTGCTCAGAATTTGTGTGGTTTCCTTGAGATCCACCCTGAGCTTGCTTTGCTTTGCTTTGCTTTGACTGGTCTTGTGACCATCTGGTTGTCTCCCACTTAGCCTATGGGGGTGTGTCAAACATTATATGTTCATATTGTGTAGGCTATAGTGGGTTTGGCCTTAGGGGGTATAGCTTTGTTAGGGTTTCCTACTTGTATCCCCCTCCTACCTAGTTTCATTCATTCTCGTTCTATTCTGGATTCTAACAGTGACGACACGCAACTGCTTGACAGGTTCGAGGAGGAAATTAAGGATAATCTCGAGGTGGCGATCAACCACGTCGTCACTCAGTTCCTGGGACTCAACATCACCTAGTCCGCCACCTCCATTCACCTCTCCGCCACCAAATACGCGGAAACGCTCGCGAAGAAATTCGCAATCGCCCCCGTCAGCCTCAGCACCCCCTTTCGCACTCCTCCTCCTAATCACGAACCCGACACCACTCCGCTCTCCATCAAAGACCATCGGCTCTATTAGCAGCAGTTGGGGTGTCTCCTGTTCGCTGCCGTCACGTGCCGGCCGGATCTCTCCTATGTCGCAAGCCTGCTCGCACAGTATCTGCGTCGACCTAAAGGGGATAATGTACTGGACCTACACCGAGCACTTCAATACTTCATTTCTATCCCTGACGTCTGACTCACCTACGAAGCTAACTTAACTGCTACCCTGCAGCTTCACGGCTACGTAGACGCGGACCACGCGAGAGACATTGACAACAGACGCTCTCGCACAGGTTTCATTTTCCAACTCCATCCTGCATGACTCATCTCATGGAACTCCCAAAAGCAGGAGATCATTGCTCTTTCGTCAGCCGAAGCTGAGTTAATCGCCGCCAGCGCAGCTGTTCGCGAAAGACTGTATCTGATGGAGCTCCTGCAGGAAGCGAAAGTGACGATGAACAAGGATGTCACGTTACTCTGCGACCACCAGAGTGCGATAAAATTTGCGAACAAGCCTGGCTTCGTGAATCGCACGAAACACATCGCACTCCGTTACTTCTTCGTCAACGACGAGATCGACAAGGGCAAGGTCAAACTCACGTACTGCCCAACCGGTGACATGGCAGCAGACTTGTTGACCAAGAAGCTGCCACTTCAAAAGTTTCAGCACTACGCCGACCTCTGCGGGATCTCGAAGAAATCCCACGTGGCTCACCTTCAGGAATGAAGGGGAGTGTTGGAATAACCGAAAGGTTATTATAGCATTCTCGAAGGCTCTCTTCTAGTGCGCCAGCTCATGGGGAAGCATCGCTACTGTACTAGCACCGCAATAGCTCATATAGAGCATGCGGCAGTTCGAGAACCACCCGAAGGTCAAAGTTGCTGTTAGTCAACAGTCGCGACTGTTGACCATCCGGCAACTGCATCAGAGGTTATCAATGCAACATGGTAACTTTCGAGAATGGCAATAGTCGCAGTCACTGTAGCTATGCAAATACAGTTAATAAGGGAATGTACCTCTCAGAGTACATGGCTAGCTAGATTGTTATTTATATCCTTGTACTTCTATCTTATCTTCATCATGTTCTCTTTCTACTATTATCAACAAGGTCATTTCAAGACTTCATTGTCTTCCTATAACTTAGCAGTCTTATCATATCCACTTCGATTTCCGGATTATATCAACACGAAGGAACTACACTTAACATTCTTGAACGTAACAGAGATAGGCATTTGATCAAGTTTCCGCGTCGCTCCTATGGCACCTTATCAAGCCACCTCTTATCAGGCTCACAAAAAATCACACTGAAATTCGCGCAAACTCGAAATGCTTCTCGTTTTTTACCAGGCACGTATAACAAGAGGTGCCTGATATTTGGCCATGGGAACACGCCCTAAGAACCGCTGAAACGTCTTATCATAACCACTTCTGCCATTTTGCCGTACATTCAATCTGACATGTGCCATAAATCAACAGCAGATATCAACCCTGAGCTACATCTTGACTACGCCCCCTATGTAGGTGATAGTTTTAGGCCGTGTTCCTACGCTTTTATCATGCAAACCTCTTGTCAGCCGCGAAAGTTTTTGAGTTTAGGGATTTTTCGGTGTGTTTTGATGCGAGCTTGATAGGAGGTTGGCCTGATAAGGGGTCGTAGGAACACGCCCTTAGTGGTTCATTCTGATGGATATCATGCACTTTGTTCCCCCTTCGTTGATGGTGTAGCGCCACCAAACGAACCAGCTCAGTTGTTTGACAATGTCATACAAAGCATGGCGTTTTTTGCTGCAGCATCTCTGTAGGCGCAATGACTAGAGGGGGTAATGCTGTTGTTTGCTTGCATGGGATTTTTGTGATGTAAAAAATGGCAATGTTCTTGATACCCAACAAGAGTAGAGGAACGTGACTCAGCATCCATCCAAGTTCAGTCCGCTTCAACTTGTGGTTATTGGTATATTGATGCCGACTACTCATGTGTAGGAGCTTCGCTCTCACCGTCGGGAAGCCATGGCGCCACATCAAGTGATGGAGGTCCTTATACATGGTGGTGAAGACGTTCCTGCCCTGGGAATGCGTTTGTGACTCGCCCTGCATTTTCACCAGTTCTGGAAAAAAAAAACTTATGCCAGATTCCAAGGTACTAAGGCTTTCTCTTAAATAGCAACGGATGCTCATGACCAAGAGTACATAATATACACATAGCAATACTATGGGTATATATGAATGGGGACAGCACGGGGATAGCATGGGTGGGGACCGTTCCACGTGGGGTCGGCATGGAATGGTGGCCACATGAAAACGCATGCCAACAAGCCGCCTGTGTAAGGGGAGGCCATTCAGAAAGAGCTGCAGCTTTAATGACCCCTGTCAGAGCAGCACCCCCAGACTCACACTGCTTTATTTCCAGCCGAATGCTTTGGCCTCCCCCCCCTGTGCAGCAGCAGCAGTCACAGACTCACACTGCTTTATTCCCAGCTGGATGTCTTGGTTCCCCCCTGTGCTAGCAGCAGCACCCGCAGACTCACACTGCTTTATTCATAGCCAAATGCCTTGGCTCTTCCCACCTGTGCCAGCAGCAGCACCAGAAGAATCACAGTGATTTATTCCCAGATGAATGCCTCGGCCCTCACCCCCTCACACCCCTCATGTGGCACTCCGATTTGAATTTCTGCAGCAGTGCATGGCGCTCTTTCACACTTCCCCTCTTGCTCTCACCACAGGAGATCATCCGCACTGCAGCAGCAGCAGCAGCAGCAGCAGCAGCAGCAGCAGCAGCAGCAGCAGCAGCAGCAGCAGCAGCAGCAGCAGCAGCAGCAGCAGCAGCAGCAGAAGCAGCAGCAGCATCAGCAGCAGCATCAGCAGCAGCAGCAGCAGCAGCAGCAGCAGCAGCATCAGCAGCAGCAGCAACAGCAGCAGCAGCAGATTCACACGCGTCAATCCCATTGGGATGCTTCAGGCCTCTCCCCTTCACCCGTCATCCCACCCAATCCCCTCATGTGGCGATCCAGGTTGATTTGGTACAGCAGTGCATGGCGCTCGTACACACTTCTACTCCTGCTCTCACCACGGGAAATGTCTCCCTCTGGACCACCACCAGCACCAGCACCAGCAGACTCACACTCCCAGATTTTGTCCCTGGCCAGTGCATACCCCCCATGCACTCCCATAGAAGTGCCAGCCACAGGATCAGCGTCAGGTGCAGCAGCAGCGGCAGTGGCCCTGAAGCTCTCCTTTTGAGGCGTATCAAAGCCACGCGGGGGCACTGGCGCCCTGAAGCTCGGCTCTAGTGGCTCAACAGCTTTGAGACAAGACACAGGGTCGCTTGATGCTGCACAAGCTGACTGTGGCGGCTGTAGCGGCTGAGTCAGCTGTGAGGACTGCGACTGTGGCTACTGTAGCGGCTGAGTCGGCTGTAGCATCTGAGCTGGCTGTGGGGACTGCATTGACTGTGGCGGCTGTGACGAGAGTTGTGACTTATCAGACCCGACGTCACATGAGGTGCATCCCCCGTAAGGGGCGTACCACTGATGGCCTGGCATGGACACCAATGGCTCCCCCCTTTGCTCTGCTGCTCCCCCCACACTTCCTTCATCATTCCCCCATGCAGTCCCTTTCTCTTCTGCCTCTGTCTCTTCTCGCTCTGGGCTGAGCCCTAGGCAAAGGGATAGATCCACTGAGCCACACGCCGGGCTTTTGGCTGATCCCGGGTTTCTCGCAAGAGGTGTGACTGTAGCGGGGCGGGCGGGACGGGCAGGCAGGCTGTTGCTTGGGTAGGAAGTGGCTGCAGCAGCAGCTTGAGAGGAAAAAGGAAAGACAGGCGCTGAGGATGTGTGTGGGCCAAGAGCCTCTAGAAGAAGGCTGACAGGGAGCACGTTGGCTGCAGGGCGAGAGGGACGGGGCGGGAGGGTAATGGAGTGTAGCAGGCGTTCAATTCCTTCTTTGAATGCTGTTTGAAGGTTTAGACGGCTTTGCTGTAGTGAACCCCACTCCGCATGTGCTTTCACGGCCTCCTCTTGCTGCTGCCGCTGCTGCTCCTGCTGCTGTCTACTAGCAACCCATGGGCGCAGGGCTGTGAAGCGCTGCAGGTCCCTTCCACAGGAGTGCAGCGTTCCAGCCTCGCTTTGCTCGCTCCAACAACGCGTTGCTAGGGGAAGGAGGTCAATGCTGTGACTGTGGGGTCTGGTGTTGTTGATAGTGGACAGGGGCGCCTCTTGAGGCGCCTCAGAGACATGAGGTGTCCTCTGGGGCAGCTGAGAGAAGAGAGACGCCATTTGGGGCAGCTGAGAGTTTTGAGACGCCCTTTGAGGCAGCTGAGAGACAAGAGACGCCCATTCAGGCAACTGAGGGATAAGAGCTGCCCTTTGAGCCGCCTCGGGAGCACCAGGCACCTCCAACATAGTCATGCAGGGCACTCTGTAGCCCTTGTGCCGCGCCTCAACCGCCGGCTCTGACTCCCGCGGCCTCTTCCGCAGCTCCTCCCGCGGCCTCCGCTGGACGGTAGTAACGGGCGGCGGCCAGGTGAATGCGCTGCTGGAATCCGGTGCGACTCCGCCGCGCGTGATCATGGCTAACGGCAGGAGTCGTTCCGCGTTCATTGAGTCGTTGTGGCCATGCGAAGACTCGCAGGCTCTGAATGCAGCGATCATGTCCCCCGCCGTCGCGGCGTGTTCGTTTCTGCTGCGGAGAAGGGATGCTGCGCCAACGACAGCGGTCCCATGATTCAAGTCAATGGGCCGGCGGACGCGCAGACAGGCGCGGCGCCGTGACGTATGATGTTGAACATAGGGGGGGTAAAAAAGGAGCTTGTTCGCGGCGAGAAAGCGGAGATAATCGCCGTCAGAGACCGCCATCATGGTCAGTTCAAACCCTAACCCAAAACCCGCAAGTTGCGGGAACCAAGCAAATGCGGTCGCTGACGGGGGTGTGAGTCTGACGCGGTTTCACTGACAGGGAATGTTTGAAACACTAGGCGGCGCTTGAAACGGTAGTAAGCAGAAACCAGAACGAGACATGAGATGATGTGTTGAGAGCTTTCCGATAATGTACACTTATAGCAGCTAGGGAACGGATTGCCTGGAATCGAGTCAAAGGAGGGAGTGAGCTCTGTCAGTGACAGCTTGTTGATTTACCAGCACTGCTGTACAGTCACTGTGTACTGTACCATCCCCCCCTCCCCCCTCCCCCATTTCTCGTCGAAACAGACGGCCAGCATGTGCCGCCAGCTACTCGCAGCTCGCGCGACGCGACAGCACCCAATCATCTTCGAGCGCGCGGGAAGTGCGCTTCGTGTGTTCGGCAGCGCTGGCAAGCGAGGCACGTGAGCTAAATCTCGATCCTTTGTGCCATGTGACGACCATGTCACTTCAAATAAAAATGGGGGCATCGTGACAAAAAAAAATCGAGCGATGCGAAACGAATGCCGCCCTGGATACGTCAGCTAGTTCGCGACCGGCCTCGCAGCGTACTGTTCCTACACGTGACAATCCCACATGCAGGTTCCTTAAAGCAAGGGTGCACATTCCTGGGGGTGGCTTTTGGGTGTAATGTTAGTGCACACCCTCTGGCGCTTGCTGATTCGAGGGCGAATTTTGCAGGGGGTGTAAGGCTGGTGCGAGGGATTGAAACAAGGCAGGCGATGCCTACCTATTTCGGTTGAGTTTTTGGCTGGGGGAACACACCGCGGAAGGGCGGAAAGGGCGGAAATCAATCGCGGAAGTGAGAAGCAAGCGGGCATGAAGTGAGTCGATCAACCAAGCGAGTGATAAACCAGCCAAGGCTTCAACACCAAAGCGTAGAAACATCACAACTCAAGTGATGGCAGTTAAGCAAGCACATTCTAAGCGCCACAGCGACATCGCCCGCACGTAGGAGGTTCGTTCTTCCACGTGTACATGGTAGTGCCTTTCTTCGCACGTGAATGGCGTCATCGCCGCCTGCGCGTGACGTCGTCGCCTGCGCGGCGCGTCGTTTTCCTGTCCTCTCTGCCTCCTCGTCCTTTCGCCACGTCACATCCTCCACCCCGAATCGCAGTAACCTATCCTCTACAGCCTCTCGCCTCCCCGCTGCTTCGTGTCCTGGCCGAACGACGCCTCGCCAGCTCGTCGGCGCGTCGTCGCCGGATCGTCGCTGACTCGCCGCCACGCCTCGATTGGTGCCTCATCTTCGCCGCCACATCGCCGCCCAGCCGCCTCTTCGCCGTCACACAGCCGCCCCGCTACCTCGCCTCCTCATCGCCTATACATTGCTGATCCGCTGCTAACTCTAATCAAGATCTGCATTTAGCGAAATGCTTGCCGCCCTAGTGCTCCAGCGCCTAACTCCTTTGCTCGTCTGAAATCTTAAACCTTTCCGCCACCTGTTCCCGATCCCTACTCGCATGCCATCCGGAAAATACACCATCATGCAGTCGTGGCACGCAGATCTTCCACACCTTTCTCCATGAGCTTCTCGAGCTTAGGGGTTTCCATAGAACTCTATTGCCGTCTGTTTCCTCTGAACTAGTTCTACCGCGTGTCTAGTCCCTGCTATGGGCGTATCGTCCTTAGCCGCCCCACCTCCCACATCGATGTCTCGAGCTCCTCCGATGCACCCCTGCCTCACGCGTTCAGTTCCCCATGCGCCGCCCCTACCCTCCCTTGCCTCCTTCCCCCCCACCCCGCCCTCTCTCCCCTCCCCGCCTTCCCCTCTCCCCATGCCCGTGTTCGCCACGCTCCCGCAGGTCGCGTCGTGCCTCTTTCTCGTCCGGGCCGTGCACTACCCCGCGCCGCCGGTGCACTTTCCTGGGTCTCAGGTGTTCCATACACTGCACCAGGTGGTCTAAGCATGTGCATCAGGTGCTTTACCGTGTTCCCGAGGGGGACATGCGCCTAACACGTCCTCTCCTCTCTCATCCCGTCCTCCCCTCTCTCATCCCCCCCTCCGCTCTCTCATCCCCTCCTTCCCAATACTCAGCCCCTCCTCCCATCGCTCCTCCCCTCCTTCCTTCTCTCATCCCCTCCTTCCTTCTCTCATCCCCTCCTTCCTTCTCTCATCCTCTCCTTCCTTCTCTCATCCCCTCCTTCCTTCTCTCATCCCCTCCTTCCTTCTCTCATCCCCTCCCTCCTTCTCTCATCCCCTCCCTCCTTCTCTCATCCCCTCCCTCCTTCTCTCATCCCCTCCCTCCTTCTCTCAGCCCTGCCTCCCATCGCTCCTCCCATCTCACCATCTCTCATCCGTCCTCCACTCTCCCATTTCCACCCTCCTTCTCTCATCCCCGCCTACCCTCGCTCCTCCACTCCGTCCTTCTCTCATTCCGTCCTTCCCTCTATCATCCCATCCCTCCTTCTCTCATCCCCTCCTTCCCTCACTCATCCCCTCCTCCCATCGCTCCTCTCCACTTTCCATCTCACATACCCTCCCCCATTTCCCCAGGTCGCTCCTCCCCTTTCCCCCAGGTCGCACCTCCCTTCCCCCTTTCCCCCAGGTCGCACCTCCCCTTCCCTCCTTCCTCCAGGTCGCTCCTCCCCTTTCCCCCAGGTAGCACCTCCCCTTCCCCCCAGGTCGCACCTCCCTTCCCCCTTTTCCCCAGGTCGCACCTCCCTTCCCCCTTTTCCCCAGGTAGCACCTCCCCTTCCCCCCAGGTCGCACCTCCCTTCCCCCAGGTCGCACCTCCCCTTCCCCTCTTTCCCCCAGGTCGCTTTTCCCCTTTCCCCGAGGTCGCACCTCCCCTTCCCCTCTTTCCCCCAGGTCGCTTTTCCCCTTTCCCCGAGGTCGCACCTCCCCTTCCTCCCTCAACGCTCCTCCCCTTTCCACCAGGTCGCTCCTCCCCTTCCAACCAGCTCGCACCTCCCTGTTCCCCTTCACAGAGCACCTTCACACTCTTTCACAATGCACTACCCCTCCCTTCCCTTTGCTTCCATTCCCCTCAAATCGCTTCTATGCCCCTCTTCTCCCTCCCCTTTCCTTCCCTTCTTATGTCTTCCCTGCGCTTCCCTTTCCCTATTCTCCCTTCCCTTTCCTTCCCTTCTTTTGTCCTCCCTGCACTTCCCTTCCCCTCTTCTCCCTTCCCTTTCCTTCCCTTCATTTGTCCTCCCTGCACTTCCCTTCCCCTCTTCTTTTTTCTCCCTTCCTCCCCTTTTTTCACCATGCCTCCCCTTTTTTCTCCCTGCCTCCCTTTTTTTCTCCGTGCCCCCCTTTTTTAACCCTGCATGTCCATGTGAATGTGCTACCTCCTCTAGTCTCTTGCTATGTGCAGGGCAAAGCCGTGTCTTCACAAGTTTGGTGGCGCAGGGTGCAGCAGCGACGCAAGAGCACATAGAGGACATGAGGCACTAAGAGGAGTGGTGGCATACTGTTTTGTACATCAAGATATTTGTAAAACATTACTAGTACGGGAGTTTTGTACTTTTCATAGGGTAAAGAGTTGTTGAAAATACCCGAAAACTTTCACAAAATCACAAGCATCACCAATGCCATCATTATTGGCTATCCTGATTCCTAGTGTGGATGTATATTTTGTTGTGAATAACTTCATTCGACGATTCTCGACATGGAGAGGGTCCACACTATCCTAGGTTCAACAAATTGTCATCTTGGGTGCTTCATGCTCGACGACCTGCACCAATGAAGGGAGAGGGAAGGTGTGAATGAGCAGACAGGGGAGCATAAGCAGATTGTAAGATAAAGAGTGGCATAGAGACAAGGACGGTGAGAGAAAGAGCATGGGGAAAAGAAATGGGTGAGCAGGGGGAACAAAGGGTAAGCAGGGGAAAAGAAAGAGAGAAGGGGAAGCAATAGTAAGCCGGGGGAAAAGAAAGAGTGAGCAGGGAGGGGAGAAATGACAGGGCGGGTGGGGGGGGGGGGGGGGGGGAGAGGAGAAATGACAAGGAGGGGTGAGATGTCAGGGTGGGGAGAAATGACAGGGAGGGGAGAAATGGCTGACAGTGAGGGAAGAACTGACAGGGCGGAGAGACAGGGGGGATAGGACAGGGCGCAGACCAACGTGAGGTGACCCAGTCAAGAGCGCGGTCACCTCAGCTGGTCGTTCGTCACCTGACCTGAGCCCTTGGGGCAAGTGTAAGCAGTTCGACATCAGGCCCCATTCCTCAGCTCAGACTTGCAACGAGGTGCCAAGGCCGGCCGGCACTCGCACTGCCTCCTGGCAGGGGCAGGGCGAGTCGGGAGAGAAGGGTGGGGGAGAAGGGTAGGGAGAAAAGGGGGGGAGAGGGGTAGGGAAAGAAGGGTGGGGGAGAGGGGCAGCTTGAGAAGGGTGGGGGAGAGGGGCAGCTTGAGAAGGGTGGGGGAGAGGGGCAGCTTGAGAAGGGTGGGGGAGAGGGGCAGCTTGAGAAGGGTGGGGGAGAGGGGCAGCTTGAGAAGGGTGGGGGAGAGGGGTAGGGAGAGAAGGGTGGGGGAAAGGGGTGGAGGGGAAGGTGGGGTTGAGAGGTGAGGGAGCAGAGTAGGGGAGACGGGTGGGGGGAAAGATGGAGTGCCTCGGGAGAGGGGTCCAGGAGAGGCGTATGGGAGAGGGGTTGGGGAGAGAAGGGTGGGGAGAGGGGTAACAGAAAACGGAGTAGGAAAACCAAACTTT